AGAGAATTTTTAATTATCCTGTTACAAATCCTCAACACAATGACAGCTCTATGTTACTACACACATACAGACTGCATGGAAGACAGAAAACAAATGATAAACTTCAGCATTTATAGATCCTGGGAACCCTATGATGTACCAAAGCACTGCTTAGCAAATTGGACAGACAAGGAAAATGTGAAGGATTGTTCCTGCTATGGAAATTACCACAAAAATTCAGTTTACACAAGTTCTATATTAGATCTGTTTAACGGAAATGGGAGTGGTATATCACATGCAACATTGAAGGTACTACAGTCAGGAGATAAAAATAAAACTTTCAGAATCTAGTCAACAGCACAGTGGAGTTATTTCATGTTCACAGAGATGGATACCAGAAAGACAAGCGGCATTTCTGCACATTTATGTCATCTGCCTAACAGTGCACATACAGCTTACCTCAGGTTCATCCTTTATTTTTAGAAATGTTATTGGGAGAGGATCCTCTTCCTCTTCTGCATCTGAGACTGCCTCAGCTTTTACATTCATGGCCTGATTTGCATCATGAGGTGTTGGGTATGTCTCACCATATGTACTCACTAGAGCGTTCTCCAAATTTGTACAGCTCTGTAAAAACAATCCCATCCTTCTCAGAAATGGATGCACAACACCCTACATTAACCAGCGTATGCTCTCCTTGCTATGGCTGTTTCTCATCACATCTAACCCATAAGAGCTGTTCTGTACAGATGTTCCTCTCTACAGCTATCATGATCACTAGAAAGTACTCGGTTCATAGCTCAGTGACCTTCTCGAGGAACTATTGGTCACTGCGGCAGTACAGAAAATATCTGCTTTTTTGGTACCTAAAAACATCATAATGAAGAGCTCCACAACTTGTAACCTTCGTTCACCAAGCATAATCATATGATCAAGTCCAGGAGGATGAGATGGGCAGCTCATATAGCAGGCATGGGGAGAAGAGGAATGCATATAGGATTTATTGATAAAGCCAGAAGGAAAAAGTCCACTAGGAAGGCCTTGGCACAGATGGGAAGACAATAGTTAAATGGATCTTTAAGAGACATGGGATGGGTTGTGTGGACTGGATTCAAATGGCTCAGGATTGGGACTTGTGATGGGGTTTTGCGAACATGTCAATAAACTTCCAGGTTCTATACAATGTTGGGAAATTCTTCAGTGGCCAAGGAACTGGTGGCTTCTCAAAGACTCACTCAGCTCCATGGAGTTAGTTATGGTACCTAAGGTGGAGTCCAACTGAGTCCATCTGGGTCCACTCAGCATGGCGGCCACTAATTGGCCTATTGTAGCCCGCCCCGGGTGATTATGATGATGGAGAATTTGGTGTAATGAACAATGGCAGGGGATACCGAAGCACTCGGAGAAAACCCGCCCCAGCGCCACTTTGTCCACCACAAATCCCACTTGACCAGACCCGGGATTGAAACCGGGCTGCCGCAGTGGGAAGCCACTGACTAGTTGAGCAATAGGGCGGCCACTTGCATGTGCACTACACGACTTGCCCACATCACTCTCCTACATAATATCCCAACTGTTATCACCCAAGTGTAAGAAACTAACAACATGGATTATGCAAACAAACAGAACCATGTATTGTAGCCCCAACAGTTGGCCGTTGCGTAGGTATTGCAGTATCAACGAAGCGTCCCCTGGCTATAGACAACAGATATTTAGTTTCTTTGGCCAAGACAACTGAAATAAATCAATAAAATTCTTGTCTGTGCACACAAGCACGAAACACTCACAGTCCTTTCGCTCACATCAGGAAACACTTCTTCAGCTCTATTCAGTACAATTATTGCCACTCTTGTTGCAACAGAATGCAGAATCTTTTGTAACCTTGAAACCTTTACATCACATGATAAATATCTCGTGGGGTTCATTGGAATTAGCTCACAAGTGTCCTAGTAACTTAAATTCTTGGTTCTAATAAGTGTAAGTAAGTAAGTAAGTAAAGGTATCCCTGTAACAGGCCCTGAAGGCCCCATAGGGTTGTGAGATGTTGAGGTTCCGACATTTCCTAGAAAATCGGCTCATAGATGGCAGCAAGGTTGACAGTCTTATGTGCCGCCTGCCCTTTACCCCCAAGAATATTCCAAGAACATTCCTGGTATTCATTTCTGTTAGAGGCTGAGTCAACCTCAGTGCCACAGTGCGGCTGGAAGGATTGGGTCAATTGAAAAAATCCAATGACCTAATTGGGACTTTCACCCGAGGCCTTCCAGCTAGTAGCATAGTGCCTCAAGGTTATAATAAGTGTACCAGTAACTAATTGTGAACAGTTCTGCGACCACCCAAGGATTTTTGCTATAGAATTTCTCTCAAACACTGCTCCATTTATGCAAAATTTAATTTCACCTGCATCAGAACTGCTTAAAAGGAAATGGAAGTGGTACATCACAAGCAGCATACATTCAACAAACTATAACTGTCTAGAGACACTTCAGAAAAAAACCTTCAAAGGCGAGTCAGCAGCACAGTGGAGTTGTCCCATGTGCACAGACAGACGAAGATGAGAAAGACAACTGAAATTCCTACATATCTGTGATATCTGCTTAACAGTGGACATACAGAAACATACAGCTCACCTCAGGTTCAGCCTTTATCTCCTGAACTGTTATTTGCAGAGGATCTGCTTCCTCTTCTGCATCTGAGACTTCCTCAGCTTTTATATTCATGGCCTGGTTTGCATCATGAGTTGCTGGGTATGTCTCACCATACGGGCCTACTAAAACCATCTCTGAATTTGTAATTCTGTAAAGGCATCATATCTTCTATCAGTCATGGCTGTACAACACCACATATGAAATAATATATGCTCTCCTTGCTGTAGCTGTTTTTCATTGCATCTAACCCATAACAGCTGCTCTGTACAGATTTCTTCTGTAGACTTCATAATCTTAGGAAGTGTTAAGTTCATCAGTGACCTTCCTGAGAAACCTGTGGTCCCTCTGGAAGTACACACAATGCGTATCTGCTCTTTATGGAACCTAAGCACTCATTACTGTGTTCACACATGCCCATCGTGACTTTGCATCCTGACACAAACCCAGTCCAAAACCCCCATAATTGTACCTTAAAAAAATCCAACTTCACTATTGTCTCCCAAGTGGTCTCATTCTTTCAGGTCTTCTGTCAAAATCTTTGTACACACTTCTCATTCACATGTGTGTGCTACATGACCTACGCATATTGCTCTCCCTGAATTGATCCCTCTCCCACATAATAATGCAAAGTGTTACAATATGAAGAACCAAATAAACTCCCCAGATTGATTATAAAAACTAACATAAGCTTGGCATAAAAAGTTTAGTGTCTTAAGATATGGGAATTGAGAGATGACAATAAAATGCTTGACTGTTCACACAAGCACAAAACACCATCCTTTCTGTCACAGCAGGAAATGTTTCTTTAGTTCTCTGTAGCAGAATTCTCGGCATTCCTGCTGCAAGAGTGCAGAATCTTTCATAACCTTGAAACTTTGCTTTATCACATATGACGCTTTTGTGGGTGGCAAATGAATCCGTTTACAAGAATCTTACTGATTAGCATCATATTTCTAACAAGGGTACCAGTACCTAGCTCTGAATATTTGCCATGTCTGTAAGGAAATATACTAATTATTGTAAACAAACTCACTCACACGTGGATTTTCATAGCGAAAATTGATCAAATCATAACCACAAACCAAAAAAAACAAAAGACAATAAAATAAAAGCCAAACTTACCTCATAAGAAATCGTTTGCGCCACAGAACGAAGGCCCCTTAACAAAGAATAATTAGAATTAGAAGACCACCCGGCAACCATAACAGCATAAACACCCAAACTAGTACAACACAAAAAAAAAACCCCAAACCAAAAGAAATAAAGCCTCTAAAATAAAGAACTAACACCCACACCAACAATGATAGAAATAAACTAAACACTACTCTGCACGGAGTCTTAGAAACAGCAAACCTACTGTACAAATTTACATCTCAGAGCCGCAAAAATGCATTTCTATGCCCTTCCAACTTCAACCAGTTCACCACAGACCATCAGCTCTCACGACTTCCTTTATAAATCGGATTTGTATGTGTAACAGGCGAGAAATTGCATAAAAAAGTAAAAATGTGCATTCTACTAGTACCATCACCCTCAGAATAGGCGCTGCGAAGTTTAGGAGAATCCCGAATAGAACTTGCAACAGCGGAATAATATCATGAACACCATAATTTATGATAATATTAGGAAACTGAATTTCTATCGAATGATCCTAATGATTCCCTAAAGAATACCCACAACCTACACATTTCCATTAACAACGTAAAAGTCTGGTACCTACGATGCAAGAATTTGTGTAGGTTGTTGTACGGAACAACTCGCGACCTCGGTATCGCTCGGTATCACAGACGATCACAGCCGTCACCGCCGTCACAGCTATCACCGCCGACTCGGCGAGTACTACACGCACTGAACAGCCCCGTGAAACTCCCATGTTATTCACACTGATATGTTGGGTTTTTGGACTTTATCCATCGTCCTGGTTTTTAAGATAACAAATAAAAATTCGACGTTTCGGAAACTGGATCTGTATCCGTCCTCAGGTGAAGGAGAACACCTATTCAATTGGGTCCGTTAGAAAGAGCTAGCCTCAATCACTGGACAAACCAATGTCACAAAACATGAAGATTATAGAAACCTGAGACCAGGCTAATTCCATGAGAGCTAATAAGAAAAATATTCATAACAAATTGTAGCAAACACTTACAAGCGTGGAACCAGGATAGATAGATAGATAAATTTCTACAGATCTATCTATCCTGGTTCCACGCTTGTAAGTGTTTGCTACAGTAGATAATTCGGCATGGTAGCCTGTGCATCTAAGATATACTGTTTTTTTTTTTCAGGCAAGGGTAACAACATGACTCTTTAAGACAGTATTTCATCATACCAAGTTTTAGTTGGACATTGTTATATCAAGTCAGTTTCTGGTACCCAGTCTCACACATGTGCAACCGTATGTTGTACACAATTTATTAAAAGTTACTCACTTTAGAAGTTTAAAGATCCATCACTACATGTTTTCAACCAATATGGTCAGGCATTAATATTATTGGTCAAGGAAACTGCTGTCTTCTCTGGTTGCCTTGTTGTTACTGTATAAGTCCTCTCCGTGTTCATATGTGTATATAACGTGTACATTTAACTATCAGAGTTTATGTGTGTGAAATTTGTTATGTGTTGGGTAGTAAAACTTTAATTTAGTATTCAGTGCCAAGCTTATTCTAAATGGATCTGTTTAAAGTTCATTACTATTTGTTTGAATTAATTTTCTCCTTATTAGTAGAGTGAAACTGGTATTTGCAATACTTGCCTTGAACAAGATTTGCTGGTTGTGGGGCAGGTGGGATGTGGGCAGAATAGTATCTTTTTTGTCTCTTCATGCAGATATTAGCTTCCTGGTGGATACAGGTGTCCAGCCTGAACAGTGTGTTGTTATGGAAGTTTCCCGGCAGCCTTGATTGGATTGTAGAATTGCTGCTGGTAACAGGAAGGGAATAGTGGACGGGGTTAACAGCAGAGTTTGCCGTTAGTAGCATCACTTCTTTGGCAACAAGTTTTCTTATGTAAGCTTGTAAGGTTATGTTTTTCGTGTGCATACCATAGAAAGTCTTTAATATGTTCCCAGACAGTGGGATGGCATGCCAATACATGAAACTAAAGGTAGAAATTTTTCAAGTGGTGCTTGTAATGGCTCTTTGGGAATTTACCAGATAGTACACTCAAGTGCCAAAAGTCATGGAATAGCAGTATGTAAACTTATTTTTAAGTGGCGCCACCTCCCTTGATGGCTTGGGAATGCCCAGAGCAGTATCAATTGTGAGGTGTTCTCTCGTGAGTCAGGTTGAACACAGGCCAGTCTGCTCATGGCGAGCCGACCTGGATTATCGGAGTTTGAACGGGGCATGATAGTGGGTGCCAGGCAGATGGAATATTCCATTTCTGAAGTTGTGCGGTCATTCAACATTCCTCGATCCACGGTTTCGTGTGTATCGGGAATACCTTGTGGAAGGCATTTCCACCCACCATGGACAGCGCAGTGGCAAACCACAGGTGCTTAATGATCGTGACCAGCGGCATCTAGCTAGAATTGTCCGTGGTAACAGACAAGCGACACTGGCTGAAATCACATCCACATTCAATGCAGGAGGTACCAGACGCATA